TTGTTAATGAATCAGACTTTGTTCAAGGCACCCCAGGCTACTGATTTTGCATCAGGCAGAGAGTCAGTTATTATTTATAAGCCACGGACACCAAAGCGGGACACTCTGCTGGGTGCTGCTGAAGACGTGCAAAGGGTAAATGCTATTTAGGAGTCTGGACTCTGAAATCAGACTGCCTACCTTCTAATTCTGGCTTGGCCACTTACTGGCTGGGTAACTTGGAGTAGTTTGTCCTCTCTGTGCCTTGGCTTCCTCATTTATAAAATAGCAGTCTCAAAGGATTTTTTGATGTCCAGGTAAGAACATGTAAAGGGGTTATAGCAATTTTTGGAATTTAGTAAGCAGTGATGGATACAATTAAGAAAAATTGTAGGAAGTTTCTTTTCTGGCATTAAAAGTAAAACAAATTTACTGCAGATGAAACATTGAGAGTACAGGTGGAAGGGCAGGCATTTAGGCAGTGCTTATGGCCCTGCTTGGATTGGCCCCACCCTACATCAGAGTGCCTGGTTTGAGTCTCAACTCCTTTGCCTCTTATCTGGCTTCCTGCTCATGTTCACCCTGGGGGGCAGCAGATAATGGCTCAAGTACTTGGGTCCCTGCCACCCACAGTGGAGACCTGGAAGGAGTTTCTGGCTCCTGGCTTCAGTCTGGCCCAGCAATGGCTGTTTCAGGAATTTGGGAAATGAACCAGCTGATGGAAGATTCTCTCTCTCTCTCTATCTCCCCCCACCCCCGTATATCTCCCCTCTTTGCCTTTCAAATAAAAAGGAAAACAAATGCAAAAGTTTTAAAAGTCAGGTTTACTTTTTTTTGAAAAAGAAAGAATTACAGTTGGAGTTAATATCCTGGTGTTATTGTTGCTTTTATATATCCCACATCCTGTCTGATTAATATTACCAAACTTGCCCTAATGCCTCAAAGCTTGAAGGGAACCAAATAAAATGATGTATAGTTTTTACATGAAATTTCCCCCAGATTTTTAGCTAAAATTGCTCCTTCCATCCATGCCCTGTGTTGATTTGTATTTTCATCATGATACTTATTATAGTAAGTCTTATTTTATAGTTGCTTATGTGCTTCCTTATCTAACCAGGTGAAGTCTCCATGGTGTAGAGATTGTCTAACTTTACAAAAATCATGGAGGTCTGTGACTGTAACATAAAGAGCACATAATGAGTGTTTGTTAGAAAGGGTACTTATAAGTATAGCTTGCCAGATAAACATACAGAATTTTTTTTTTCATTTTGTAAGATTTGTTTTTATTTAGTTGAAATAGTTACACGGGGTGGGAGGAGAGAGAGAGAGAGAGAGAGAGAGAGAGAGAGAGACAAAGAGATCTTATATTCACTGGTTCACTTCCCAAATGACTGCAGTGGCCGTGGCTAAACCAGGCAGAAGCCAGGAGCCAGGAGCTTCTTCAGGTATCCCACTTGGGTGCAGGGGCCCAAGCACTGGGGCCATCTTCTGCTGCTTTCCCAGGCCATTAGCAGGGCGCTGGATCAGAAGCAGAGCAGCTGGGACTCAAACCACCACCCATATGGGATGCCTGCATCATAGATGTTGGCTTCAGCTGCTGGGTCACAACTCCAGACCCAATAAACAGAATTATAAGCAGTATTATGGCTACTACTATGAAGAACTTTAGAGGGTGAAAAATGACATGGGTTTTGGGAAAGAATGCAAGTAGCTGGGATTGGATGGAGAAACCTACACAAGGATTGTTTTTATAAATTGTGCCTTCATGAATATTTGTTTTCTGTTCACATTATCCTCTGACATTAACTTGTAATACATTAGATGCAGCAAGTGTTTTGTTTGTTTTAGTTGGGTCAGGTGTGAAACAATCGATTGTATGGGGTCCCCAGGAAGCCTAATCTTCCTATGTCTTTAATTGTATAATAAATGAGGCTCATGGAAATGATTAATTAAGTCCTTGTCTAAATTCCAGATAGAACTTGTTGATTTCATTATTTATTCATTTATGTTTTGAAAAAACATTTCAAGTTCTGTTTATGTGAGCGAGGCAGTGTGCCAGGCACTGCACATGGGCAACAGGATGAACAGTGTTCAAGTCTATTCTGTAGAGGTAAAAGGTACTCTACATTAAAAATCACAAAACTCAAACACTGTAATCTGAATCAACTTGAAAACATGTTTTGACTTCTTGACCCTAGTTCAACACATTAGGTGATTGTTTTCTCTGTTATAGTAATTGGATCCATAAACTTGAATGAATATTGTGTCCATAGTAGGGTTTGTCAGGTGCTCTGAGTGAAAATCTATGTTTAATACATAAAAGGCTTACTTGAGGAGGAATTTTACACTAAGGCAAAGAAAGGAAAGGAGAGTTGTAGTTGGGCCATTAGAAGCTCCTGAGAACTTAATCATTTTCATGACCAGTGAGTAACATACCCTATCAACTGTGCCACTGGCATAAGAACGGGCTGTTCCTAGATTTCCTTGGAGAATTACTTTTGTATATTGATGAAATGATTTTTCTCTTACAATTGTGTTGCTGGGTCATTTTGATGTCTCTAGATACTATTAGAGATATATGTGAATAAACACAAGCTAAAATAAGTTTGTTTCCTAATTCACTAGAGCAACCACGGTGTAGTGATGAAGCATAATGAATAGGACTTACTGGAGCAATATCTATTTATTACTCAGCTTTGAATGTGTGATATATGAATGTTCCTCATTACTTTATGGTGTTTCAAATGTATCCTTAAAGCACGAGATGTGCATTTCCATATTTTCATATCTTCTCTGTGAACATCAGACAGCACTTGTGTATTTTATTCAAAATTTAAAAAACTTAAAATTGAACAACTCTGCAGGCAACAGCTTACAAATCTGTTCAAATAAAACACCAAGACTGCTTAATTAAAACTTTGACACTATCAACTTCTCTATATGTCAAAGACATTGGCATCCTGGGATACCAACTTAAAGTCAGTGTGCATTTTGAGGATCTCTGTTAGGGGTGCACCTGCAATTCTCTTAAGGGAATTAAGAAGGCATAACTAGAAAAGAATTGCTTAACATTTCTCTGGACATGAGTTATTTCACACTTTAAAACACACAAGAGGAGGGCAAGTTTGTCTTTTCAGAAGAAAAATGCAAAATAGATGTGGAAAAAAAGAGAACATTTCCTCTTCTTATCTAGGTCGAAATTTCAATGAGTGCTTTATTTTTAAACAATGAAGATTTTTATAGTAATTGTTGCTTAGAAAACAGTTCCAAAGCTTGACTACTGGTTGCTTGCATGTTTTCTATAGACCATATTGGGTAAGTGGGGGAGGAGAGGGCTGCTGATTCTCTCCGTTAGAGTGTATAAATTTTGCGGTAAAACGACTGCTTCTCTCTACCTCTTAATTCTTGTGGTTTTCACTGTTCTGTGCCTGTGCCCAATTTCTTTCATCACTGTGGAACCCAGCAGCTCTTTGTTCTCATTGTGTCTGCCTTCTCCCTTTCTTTGTGTTGCAGGAATACTGCTACCCACATCTGCCACTGAGCATGCGGAAAAATCCTTCAATAGATTCTTTATTGAGGACTTTCAGTAGTATTATTCCACTTCTCCACGTTTTAGTAATAGCCAAAATATAGAAAAGATAGACTGAAACTGGCAAAGGTGACCGGAGACACAGGTGGTTAGGTGATAGGCTAGCATAGCTGGGGTACCAGACAGGGGGAGATTCAAGGGAGTTAATCGTCACACACATTTTCCTAATTTATGGAAGTACTCACCAAGCAAGTTAAGTGCAGAACATCCAACCTAAACACGGAAGCTAATGATGCAGGTTGACAACTGGGGAGACACAAGGGTTTCTGAGCTGGAAGGCACAGAGCCAAATCTAAAACCAATAGCTGCAACGTGCTAGCAGTTCCTGAGGGATGCAGTCCATTGCTACAAAGACTGGTGTGTCAAGTCCTTGACTGAGGAACACTAGATAGTGTATCTGCAGGTAAGAACTGGTGGGGTGGACGTTTCTCACAGCAGCACCTCAGGCTTTACCATGAGTAGGTCGAATACTCAAAAATGTTACATCAATATTAATTGACTGAAATATAATTCAATTCTTCTGCTTAGAAGACTTAAAAAAAAAAAAGCTGATTTGGCGATGGGCTTGTCCGAGGTAAGAAATAGCAGTTTTATAGGTGAGATTAGAAGGTATTGGGTAGAACGCTGAGGTGGTTTTTTCCCCCCACTCCCCACTCCATAGCAAGTCCGTCTTTAATAACTTGTAAATTATTTAACAGATGGAGCACTATACAATTGTACCCATATTTCTCCCCATAACCATATTTTTTAAACCGATTTGTTCTAGATCTTAGGGCAGCGAAGAAGATCTTTAGTCTAATGAATGTTGTAAGTATATAATGAAAAAAGCAACTCTTGCTTTATTGTGACAAACAGTGGAATAATAGAAGAGTTCAAAGGATTATTTTAGAATAAACGGAACACGCGGACCGTTAGCCGCTCTCCCTCCTTCCTCTTCCACCTCCCTTCTGCCACCATTTTGTGTCCGTACTACAAATTATTGCATCAATAGCATCTTCTCAAAGTCTTGGTTCCACGTGTCTACTTTTCTGATTTTAGGATAACGTTCTCCAACTGTTCGGTTCTCTACAGATTTCGTTCGTTAGCGGCTAATAAATCCTGTCGTCACGCCCAAGAGTGCCTTGGAAGGAAGCCAACCAGCAGGTCGGGGGCCCTCCTCCTCCAGGGCTGGCACCTGCTGCGGCTTTCTCGGAGCCCCGCCCCTGGTGCTGGGATGCGCGCTGCGCACTCTCTCCACAGTGGTGGGAGCAAGTGGCCGCGGTGGGAAAGTTCAGGCCGGGTCCAATCAGAGACCCAGGGTTAGGTAGTGTGGGTGGGCCTGGCGGCCCCGGACCCCGGCCCGCACCGCCGGCCACGCCCCCAGAGGAGAGCCCCGCCCACCAGCCCCGCGCCCCGCCCCGGGGCCGCGGCTAAAACCCGGAGCCGCGGCGGCGCCCAGGGGACTGGAGGGACGCACTGAGCATGTGCAGAGTAGCTCGGCGGCGGCTGCCTGTGCCGGAGGCTGGGGCCCGGTGCTAATGCGTACGGCTCACTCGGCCTCGGTCCCAGCTCTGTGGGCCCTCGGGGCCGGGGCGGCAGCAAAGCAGCGGTAGCCTCCCTGCGGCAGGAGCAGAGGGCGCAGCGGCGCGCACCACCCGGCGGCCGCGGCGCCCCTCGGGGCCCAAGATGATGGCGGAGCAGGTGAAATGCGCCTCGCCGGGGGGCGGCTCCGGCGCGGGCTCCGGGCCGGTGGTGAACGCGGAGCTGGAGGTGAAGAAGCTGCAGGAGCTGGTGCGCAAGCTGGAGAAGCAGAACGAACAGCTGCGGAGTCGTGCGGCCAGCGCGGCCGCCGCCCCGCACCTGCTGCTGCTGCCGACGCCGCCACCCGCCGCGTCGCCGCCCGCCGGGGCCTGCAGCCCGTTGGGTCCGCGGAGCCCCCCGGCCGTAGCGGCAGCCGCCGCGGCCTCGGGAAGCTTGGGGCTCGGGCTGGCGCTGGGGGCCGGGGGCGCCGGCAGCGGCAGCGGCGGCTCCAGCCCCGCGTTCCCCGGGACCTACTGCTTGCCCAGCCCGGCGCCCTCCCTGCTCTGCAGCTTGGCGCAGCCCCCCGAGGCGCCCTTCGTCTACTTTAAGCCTGCCACGGGCTTCTTCGGCGCGGGCAGCGGCGGGCCGGAACCAGGGGGCGCCGGGACGCCTCCGGGGGAAGCCGCCGCACTTCCCTCGCCTCCCCCCACGCTGCTGGACGAGGTGGAGCCGTTGGACCTGGAGAGCGTGGCTGCCTGGCGGGACGAGGACGACACCACCTGGTACTGCATCCCCCCAGGCCCCCAGGCCCCCTGGCTCCCCGGCCTCGAGGCCTCGGGGAACCGGCGGGAGTTGGATCTGGGAGGAAATGGGGAACCTGGTGGTTGCTTTGCAACTCCCGCGGCTGTAGCACCGGATGGCCCGGCAGGTGCAGGCTCAGGCCTTGAGCTGAGGCTTTTTTCACGACGGCGGAAAACCATTTTCGAATAGCTCACATCGATCTAACTGGGGAATAGCTGTTCCCCTCCATGTGCCCGTCTTGTGCCCTTGGCTGATGATTGTGTCTCGAGCTCCTCGTTAGCATCAATTGCAAAATGCATGTCATCTTGTCTCCTTGCTGAATCCCAGACGTGTGTGTGTGTGTGTGAGTGACAAAAGGGGAGTATTTGGGTTTGGCTTCTGGCTGCGACCCTGATTCTTGAAGCCATCGCCGCCCAGGGCTTGCCCCTGTGCCTTCTCGCGGCATCCGAAGCCACCTACTGATGGATTGTCCTGAGAGAGAGAGAGACTGATGCTTGTGGAGTTTGAGCCGTGCGGTCCGATGCTGTCTTTGGCTGCGTTTCCGTTGATAGCCTCTTTTCAAAATGTGCTGACCTCACTGGCTTTGCGTTCAGCAATGGTGTCCCAAAAGAGGGCTTTTCAGGGAATGCAGTGAGCCAGTTCAAAGCACATTTAAAACCTAGAAACCGGACAACTTTGTGCAATCTCTATAGATTCAAGAAAATTGAGATTAGAGAGCTTTGTGTGGATGTGTGTGTATGAGTTTTAGAAACGTTGAAGTTGGCTATCAAATTTATTGAGGCTGGCAGCATTTCGTGGAGATCTGCTTAGCTCTACTTCTCGTCATCGAGAAACTTTGAGGGAAGTTTCTTTTATGTTGTATTTTTCTCCTTGCTTGCTGAGATAGTATGGTCATCTCATGACTGACTTTTGGTTGGTTCCTGTGTTTTCTCCATCGCTGGCCGTGGCGAGAAGTGGTCGGATAAGTAGAAGGTCAGGTCAGGTGCAACTTGGGCTCCTGCAGAGAGTAAGTAGGGTTCACCTTGTGCACAGTAGTGGCCAGAAGTGCAGCTGCAGCCCTATTTGATCTTGGGTCCTCTTCTGTGGGGCACGTCCTAACTTTCCTGCTGGGTGTTCCTCACTTCCTTTGTGCTGCTGTTGAGTGTTTGCAGGAGGGAAGCTGGAACTGGAGCACCTTATGGGCTTCCTCCCGGGAACTGCTCTGCACCTTGCCCTTCATGTTATTCTAAGTGAGAACTGTAAGTGCAAAGTGTTAATTGGTTTGATTCAAGAATTAAAATATGTAGAGCTAGAACAAGCTTCTCAGAGGCATATGCTTCCTTCTCAGTAGTTCACTCTTGGGAGCTGTGAAGGGAGCTCAAGCTGTAGAAAGGCAACAACTCCCCACCTCTGGAACATCCAGCCTTTCTTTGGAAGCTACACCTTTACAAGAAGCCTGGGCATTACCAATACCACCGCAGTTTCAGCGTGAATACAGGACTGGAAAATGGTCTCAGGATGATTCTTAGGCTTTCGCTAGTAACTGTAAGCCTTTATACCACTTTAAAGTTATTGTAGATTAACTTTGTTTCTGATTGGCTTTTTCTGGTATGTAAAACAGTGGAAGGACATTTGTTTGCATTTTTAATACAGGTAACCAACTTTATGCTTTAAAAATATTAGCATGTAGTAAAAATATCTTGTCAGTATATAGCACGTGACAGCTAATTTAGTATTAATATTTTCTTGATGGCTGCCATATTTATTCAACTATTGTTAGTATACTGATATCTAGGTTTTCCTTTTATACTGTACTTTTTGCCCAAAGAGCATTGAAATAACTTAAAAAAAAAAACACCTACTTAGTGCGAGTAGCATTTTGTCCTTCAGACGGTTTGGAGCAAATCTAAATTGTATCAGGTTCTATTGATTTCATTAAGAATATAGGTAAATAAATCAGATCAACGCCTTGATGTTTTACAAATGTTTCAATGGACAAATGGCATACTGGTTGTAGTCTCTTCCTCAAAACAAACATGGGTTTTGAATCCCAGGTAGAAAAACAAGGAAGGGCCATTAACTTTAGGGGTGGGCTGAAATGTTGAAAGTCACTTCCTATACAGAAGATTTTTTTTCTTAAAAATTGTTTTTAAAAGAGAGAGACACAGAATTCCTATCCAAATGTGCACTCCACAAATGCCCAGAATGGCTGGGGGTGGGCCAGGCAGAAACCAGGCACTAGGAAGTCAATCTGTATCTCCCGTGTGGGTGACAGTGATCCACTTTACTGACCCAAGACCTGCTGTGCCTCCCCAGGTTACTTTAGCAGTGAGCTGCACTTGGGAGCCAGAGCCAAGAATATGGCATATAAGCCTCTAGGCTAAACACCTGCCTGTACTTATCAACTTATTTGAGAGGTAGAGAAGAGGACTACAGTCTTGATGCCTTGGTGAGACCTGGGGTGACTAGAAGAATTGTTAGTCTTTGTGAAAGGAGTGTCTTCAAGCTTCATATCTTTGTCCCATGTCACCAGGCTGAGAGGTATCAGGGACAAGCAGAGGAAGTCAGATTGGTGTGAAGTGCCAATGGGAACCAATTACTAACATTATTAACTATATTACAGCAACCTCTCTCTTTTTTTTTTTTTTTTTTTTTCTTGACCTGTTCCAGCTTCTGTATTTGAGTGTGGAAAGCCAGAAGTTGAGTGAGATGGCTGGTGTCAGCTCTTCAAGTTAGTCACTGAAAGGGTTCAGACTTAAATTCAGATTATGTACACAGGAGTGTCTGTATCATTGATAAACTTATTCCTGCATACTAGGTTGCAACCCAATAGTGGGTTATAAGATCAATTCAGTGGCTTGACTACCTTTTTTCTTTTTTCTTTTTTTCTGAAGTGCAGTAGATGGGGGGGGGGTCAGTTTGTTGCATCTTACAGTATTATCATTGCCTTGATTAAGCTTGTTTTTATTTTCATTTTACATGAAGAACATATTTGCCCATCCTGGTGAAACACTCAAATTTTTATTGTTCAAAAACAAAATACATTAAAGAACAGTGGTAGAAAAGCCCAGCCATCTAAAGATAGTGTAGAACTAAGATAGAGGTCAGGCCTTGTCCCCCTCATTCAAGAGAATAAAAATGTCTGTCAATGTGAAATACTAGGGCTTTATTTTAGTGGAGCTAGAATTAGCAGAAATTATGTAAAGGAAATGTGGCAGTTTTTATTTGCCCATCTAGAAAGGACAGGAGAAGATTTGTTAATTATACAAAGGAAAATGGTGATATGTACAAATTAAAGGAAATTTAATGAATGAGATACTCATCTTCCATGGGTAGTACCAAGACCCCAGACAGCTGGCTAAAATCATTGCCAATTCTTCATCAAAGCTGTTGAACACCTTGCACTACACATATGGCACCACTAAATTAGACCACCTAAACTGTTTCTTTGCATAATTGATTTTCAGTGAAAACAGAGGGTGCTTCACTTTCTGACAATGCTAATTGAAAATGCAGTGTTTTCCAGAAGCAAATGGAGTTGACTGAAGTGTATGATATATAACGTTTCAAAGGAGTAACTTTGAAACACTGTAGAGACAACGAAATACATACCTCGGTCTTTTGGGTTGGCTAGAGGAAAAGTTTGGTATAGGGCAGTTCAGTAACTAAAATTTGGTCTTCACATCCCCTTTTAATAGCTCAGTGATGCTAAATTTTGCAGTGGCTGCCCAATTTGATCCCAGCAGGTGCTCGTGAATCAAACACTATTGACATGAACAAAAGACTGTTGATTGTGATCAGTGCTGATGTTTTAGTTTTACTTGTGGCAATTGAAGGCTCTTAAAATTGCTTGTCTGAAAATTACCACGTATTACTTTTCTGCATATATATATTTATAAATATATATTGCTATACCATTTGAGTTATTTGCAAAAGGGTGGTTTAAAAGCCAAATGTCCTGAGGGTAACAGATGTTTTTTCTGTACTTCATTTGAAACATTCAGTGTTATTACGGTGGGCTTTGTGTGAATTTTGATTGCCCAGTATTACCATGTACTATATCACTGGTCCATAATGTGAAATGGAAGGAAAAGAAGGGATTCTGTGAGAAGGGTAATAGTTTCGGATCAAATGAATAATTTGTCCCTCAGATGTATTCAGTTGAAGTATTTCTCCCTGGATATGTTTGCTGAAATAAAACCAAAAGTCAAACATGTTTGTTAACAGGAAATTATTCTGATAAATGTAGTAAAAGAAAATGTGATATTATCGAGAAATTGTTTCAGTGAATGCAGTAAAATGAAATCGAAGGCATTATTTCCAAATCAATTATACCACACGTATTTGGCCAAGTGAGTCCCAGCACATGGTGATGAACTCTTCTCATGGTCTTAAACTTTGCTTTACCTTTGTTCCAATAGGACTTGATGTTTGGGTGGTGTTAATTTGCGCCTGTTTGAAGCCATTACTCTGAATGTTGATATATGCAGCCCATGAATTGGAGTGACTGGTAGAACTAGGTTGAACTTTGTTAAACAGGCAACAGAGTTTGAGCAGAATGGTTGACAGTAATTTCCAAATAATCTAACATGGTATGAAAAACCCCTCCATTTTCTTCTCCAGGCCATGATCAAAATGATACTTGATTTTGATGTTAAACAGGAGTCATGGATCTGGAAGTAGTGACCTGAGCCACCACGCTGTGCTGAATGCATTTCAAAGCAATGCTTGTATCCTTGGTGACATAAACTGTAGGTGTCAACCACGGTGTAATGGAAATAGCTACTTCTTCTGTGACTTCCACAAGGACAAACTGTTCAACTGAAGGGTCAGTGGAAGAATTTGACCCACAGGGACAAAGTGTTCAATTGATCCATAGTCTCTAGGCATGTTCTTTTGTACATTATTGAAAAATAACATGACATTTGAAGATGTAGCTTTTATAATATTTGAAGGATTCTGAAGTGTTAGGGTAAGGCTTTTAAAATATTTTTATGTAGAC